CCGTCCAACAAACTACCAACGCGCAAGAAGGCAATTAACGTTAATTGTCGCTTTGTGTTTGCAGTAATGACTGTATCCTATAATTTCGTTCTTAATTTCGTTGAAAATGAATGCGTTAGAGTGGAATTAATCTTTCCGAACAAGTATTTTTAGACATTATTTGAAAGATGAGCTGAATTCCATCAGATACGGCGGCGTAAACGCGTAATATTCATAAGCTGTTAGCAAGTGGCCACAATAAGGATACTATATCATTAACATACGACCAACACAGACGTAAGATAAAATAGAAGAGGTACATGTTTCACTGTTCTCGCGCCGAGGCATGAGACAAAAGTTCACAAAAGTATCTCAGGTTGCACCTTCCAAAGTTATGCAGCAATAAAGTAATGGTTCTTCTTGAAAATGAGACATATTGCGATTCATCAAGTAGTATCACGTTGTTTAGCAATACCAGCATTTTTAGCAAAACGGAAAATTTTGAAAAAGTTAAAGCGGGCATAATAAGTAAACTGAAATTTTAAATTAAGAGGAAGCCTGTTCATGCAAAACAAAACCGAGTGAATAAAGTAGCACAAGTAGAATTAAGTTGGCGTTTAATCCCTTCTAAAATTTTCAGATAAATATGCTTCCATATTACGTGCAATGTAACGTATGGCTGTTACCAACCAGCCCAAAGTTGGAGTATGTATTGGAGCACGGCTTCACGAAAATTGCTAGTTCAGGTCAGGTCAGGTTTTTTATTGGAGGGAAATATAGGTAAATACCTTTGAACTCCCTATTGGTACATTTTTTTCAATGCATTGATCTGCAGAACATTTCAGAACATTGGCGTTGCCAGTTAATTTGAGGGCCGACAGTGAAAAAACTCCTTAGGCATTGTTCAGAAGTCTAGGGGTTTGAATGCCATTTATATATTACCTGAGTTTCGTTGGACTATGGTAATCAGATTTTTGCTTGACCGCACCGATTGGAAGGTCACAGAAGTGAGCTATTTTGTAGGCTAGTCACGCCGGTCAGTGACTAACAAATTTAAATGGAATTGTCAGGTGAAATCGTAAACGAACCATTTTGTGTACACTAACAGAAATTTCCTTCCATCACATTTTTTGTAATTATTTTGGATTTCGATGAGGATGAGGTTCAGATCGTTCTTGAAATGACGATTAACAGTGTGCGTTTTTCACTGGTTTCAGCTGATTGACCATAAGTAAGGATTATATTCTACGTGCTTACCCAAAACCTTCAAAATAAGATATTTCTTAAAAAAAACTCGAGGCT